ACCGCTGAACTGCAGATAACAGTCAGCTGAAGTGACCTGCAGTACTGCACCCTAACCACTGTGCCACCTCGGCTCATTAATAACATAGTGTCCTTTTCCACCTATAAAAGTAAGCTTTCATCACCATTTTAAAGAAGATGGATGGATTGGGTTTTAATATTTTTGATATATCTATAGAGCATCGAAGTATAATTTAAATCAGGTTATTATAAAGTGGCATGATGTTTTAAAAGAAATATAAACAATACATGTATTTTTAAATGTATAAAATAGAATTTTTGTACAGCCTGACTTGTACACATTATATGACAAGTAGTACAAAAATTCCTCTGGGATTTTAACTTTCTAATCTATTGGCAAAAAGAAAGATTGTCTTCCAAAAAGCAGTTCCATTTCATCACAAAGGTAACTTCCATATTTGGGGTGTCTGCTTCATCTTACAATTTTGAGTTGATTGATATAATGATATGTGGGTGAAGAGAAGCTGTCTAGAGAACAAGCAGAAAAGAGGGTACATAAGCCACAGCTGCATACAGAGGGCAGAGCAAAAGGCTCTGGGGGGACCCTCCCTAAATTATCAGGCTGTAAAGATGACTGCAGGAAAATTATACTTTGAGACTTGCAATATTCTTTTAATGTAGTTTTGGGTGGTGAGCACAGCACAAAACATTGTGGGCTGTCCCCTGATACCACTAGATTGCTAGGGCTTGCTGCCTTAGAAGAGTGAGGAAAATACTCAGGGACGACTCACACCCTGGTCAGCCCTTCTTTATTCTCCTACCATCTGGAAGGAGATATAGAAGTATAGACAGCTGCACAAACAGGCTGAAGAACAGTTTTTCTCCGTGGGCTGTCAAGACTGCTGAACGAAACAAAACAAAACATAACTCTACAACAACATAGTACGATTGACTTGTGGCGCCGGCACAACGTGCAGTAAATTCACATGGTGCAATAGGACTGGGGTTTTTTAGGATTCACTGGGCTAGGGATTCTTTGTCTTTCAGTGCGAGTTGTATTGTGTTGTGGGGGAGCATGAAGGGAGGCTCAGCCAATCTCACTGTACACATGTTGTACTCTGACAATAAAAGTTTGAATATTGATTATTTACAATAAAATAGAATTAGCTTATCCGGTGATACTTTCTGTCTGGTCTACAGGGTAAGGCTGACATCAGTCTTACAAGTCTCAATGTATAATTCTCCTGCCCTCACTTTTACAGCCCAATAAATTAGGAAAGATCCCTCCTTTTAGAGTAGTGCTTATGCTAGTTGGCAAATACAGGGCAAAATTTTAGTGGGTGAAAACTGACTTTTTATGGGATAATTAAAGAATCTAAGATAGATTAAAATGGACTCCTTGTCCTCATCCAAGGTCCTCATCCTTAAACTGCAACAAGACTCTGGCATTTAATGGTGTTCTCTTCCCTCTCTAGGAGCCAAACCCTGAAGACCCCTTGAACAAAGAGGCTGCTGAAGTCCTCCAGAACAACAGACGCCTGTTTGAGCAGAATGTCCAGCGCTCGATGCGGGGCGGCTACATTGGTTCCATCTACTTTGAGCGCTGCCTCAAATAGAACTGACTGGCTCCAGGCACAAATTTGCTCCCCCTCCCCTCCCCTCCCTTCTAGTTTTTCTAAGGGACTCTGCCAACACCTTTGCCATCGGGGGGGGGGGAGCAGGAATTGGCAGGGGTCCCCTTCTATCTTCTTTCTCTCCCCCCACCCCCTGTCAGCCTGGGTCTTCAGCAGCCACTGTCTCACCAGATCCTTATACCTCCATCACTGCTCTCTCTGTGCTGCTGTGGGGCAAGTGTGAGGTTACTGTTGCTTCTTTGTCTCACCCACTGTGTTGGGTTAACCACCTGGTCCTGACTATGTGAGACCCTATTCCTGGTGCCCATCAGTCTTTCTGAGAGCTGTGGTTTTGCAGTTAAGAACAGAAGGTTCCCTATGTGCTCTGGCATTTCCTGCTTGCAGTGCAGTGTTATTCAGCTGCAGGATCTGCAGACCACTTGCCTCTCCTTTTCTCCCCTGCTAGGCACCAAGGTTTCTGATTGCAACTGTTAAATGGGGGAGGCACTTGAGGGCTGGAGCAAGATGCTCAGCTGCCTCCACTTGGCCCCAGGTATTGTGGCTCAAGGGGGAGGGGTTGGATCAGCCTTTTTTCTTTTAGGCTCAACTGCCTTGTATTGCCGGTTTTTAAGTAAAAGCTAATAAAGCTTCCACCACCACCAAGGGTCTTTGACAATTCGGTGTTGCCACCTTGCCTGGCCAACTTACCGCAGGGACAACTCACTGTGAGCCTGGGTCTTCCACTCTGGTTTCCAAAGCTGGCCTGGCTTAAGAGAGGCAAAAGTTCCTGCCAGCCTGCACTCCTCCGAAGGCTTCCTTGCCTCGCTTTCCAGGCACACATCCCGTGAAAAACGGGCTAAGCAGGAGTCATTGTTATACATACAGACACACCATTCTGAGCTTGGGAACTTTTATCCGCATCCAAGCTGGTGAGCTGCCGATCATGCCCAGGCTTGGGGAGAGGGAGCTCTCCTTCACCATTCTGCAGTGGACCCTGACGGTTCCCAGGCAGGGAGAAGGGCAAACAGGGAGCGTGACAGGGCAACTTGCTCCCAACGGTCATCGCTGCGAAGGGTCTTCCCTCTGAAGCATCCAGCCCGGAACAATGACTCCACATATCTCGCCTGCAATCCTTCTCCAAAGGCTTCCTTGCCTCACTTTCCAGCACACACCCCAACCCCAAAAGGCGGGCTAAACAAGTGTCATTGTTCCACACATACACAGAAACATCATTCTGAGCTTGGGGACTTTTATCTGTATCCTGCAAGGTGTCCCATGGTGAGGTGCTGGCAGCGAGTTGTCCCATTCTGCACCACCAATCCCACCAATGCTAATTGTAGTAATGTAATAGGGACACTGCTGATCCCATTGTTGTCTACGAGGGCCTGGCCAACAATGAACTCTACTCTGCCTTTCCAGTGACTCCTGGAAGTCTGGCCAACATAAAGCCACTGTAATTCTGTGTCGGGTTATTAAAGGGGAATATTAGCACATCGAATTTGCCCGTTGCCTCTCATTTTCTGCTTCCAGCTTCCCTGGTTCATGCACGGGTGGAGAGGGCAGGGGAAAGTGATGTGTATTGGTTGGGACTGCTGTCACAGGAAATAGCATCATCACTGGAGATGGTTTCTAGATGGAAGGAACTAGAGGTGAGTGCTGAGGTGATGGAAACATTTTAAGAAAAACTCATGACTTTGAGAGACTAGTTGGACACATCCCATTAATAGAATTACAGAATACTCTGCATACATATCTTGACATCTCAGTATACAACTGACTCTATTACTGTTTTGTGGTAGAATCTAACAAAGGTGTTGACCTTCCACCATAATCCTGTTTTACTGACAAGATCCCTTTCACAATCTTCCTCTAGAAAAATGCACTTTCCTACCTAACAGTCATACTGCCTATTTGTTCTAAACACATACAGTCATGTGAAAAAGTACACCCACTGTGAGTTCTATGGGTTTACATATCAAGACATAGTAAAAATCATCTAGTCATTAGCAGTTGTTAAAAGTAGGTAAATACAACCTCAGATGAACAACACATGTCATATTACACCATGTCATCTATTTTACTAAAAGAAAGCCAAAATGGAGAAGCCTTGTGTAAAAAACCTTACAGTAGTGGCCAAAATTGTAGAAACCTTTTGGGAAAAGTACAGTATTTTTGAGGTTTGAATTTAAAGTTTTTTATTTTTTCATTTTCATACAAATAACCACATGTATATCATTACATAACCAGCACTATTTTGTATTATTCAATATTATGTCAATTCGTCTTGCCATCAACCCTCAAAAACTATCATTGGCTCTTCTGCTCTCCATATACCATATTTATATCCTGTCCATCACTTTCTTCTCCCTCTCTCCTCCTCCCTGCCCCATTTCTTCCCTCTGTCATCCTCTTCTCTACTTCCCCTTCCTCTCTACTTCTCTCTCCTCTTTCCACTCCTTCTTTCTCTCCTCTCCCACCCTTCCCTCTCTCCTAACCCTCTCTTCTTCCTCTTGCCTCTCCTCTCTTCCACACTCTTCATCTCATTTACATGGTGTATTTCAGCAACTAAGCGAGCTCCATTTAATGTTGATGGTGTTAGTAATTTCATTTCAATAAACATCTTTCATATTAATAATTTTAACATATATCCTCCTTTTTAAAAAAGTATACATATATAGCAATTATAGTTCCCCCTCCGCCCCCCCAAAAAACTTATTTTCTGGCCAAAGTGTGGACCTGATTACAATTTCCAGCTTTTCTCATCATATTGTCTAGTTATACATCATTACATGCCCCAAATTTTTAGTTCTCTCTTTATAATATCAATAATTTTCCATTATAAGTATATTTCAAGTTCCCCCTCCATTTTTCCATATCTTTACTTAGCTTACATTTATCTTTTAATTGCAATCCTTGCTATTCAATGCTTATTGAGGCTGGAATACTGCAATGTGCTCTACATGGGGCTGCCCTTGAAGAGTATTCGGCGACTTCAGCTAGTCCAGAATGCGGCCGCGCGAGCAATTGCGGGTGCACCTC